AGTGGTTGGCAGAGAACATATTGACAGTATGTGTGGCTAACAATGTTTTATCACAATGGGAAGTGGACAGGATGCAAATAACACACTCAGCGCACTGTTTATGCCTGGCAAAGAGATGTACAAGAATGACAAATGACAGTGTACAGTATGTTATCACTAACCCAGTATTGTTTGATGGAGATATACTAACTGGTGTTGAAAGAATGAGATCAGACCTATTCACATCCTGCATTAGTGCAAATGCAAAGACAGACAAACAGTATGGAAATAATATTGCAAATCAGAGAGACTCTTATTCTTCCACTATGCCGCCCTTTTCCACCTTCAACTGTTGTTTGTGACAGAAAGTATTAAGGTATTATTAACTACTTTATTAATATTTGATAATAATAAGATATTTACAGTGTTATTACCACCACCATAAACAACAAGAGTGGAAATAAAGTAGAGGTGCTTCTATTAGAACACCCTATTGGGGTGTAGCAGATACAATATGACTGGTTTGCAGTAATAACTAGTGTTATTCTCCTTGTGGATTTAATCATACCACTTCACCTGGCTACTGAGTAGGGCTCGGTCTCTCAGATAACTACTTTTATCATTTATAATTAATTGATTCATCTTTTGACATTCTCCTGCAAAACACACCCTCTTTAGTCCCTCATGAATTAAGTAAGACGTGCACTGAAGAGATCTCAAGTAGAACTTAGGGTTGAGGTGTCCTATACCCAAATATAATAACACTACACAGTGGTATTGAATGTAGATTTCAATGGCATACAACCTGTCCAGACAGAGGCGACGTGACAACAGAAGTCTGTGTAATGTCTATGGCAGATTCAATACTTCTCCTCTCTCAAACAAACAGAGCCAGCACAGTAGTTCATTATTGATCCTACCAGAGGACAATAACATTTTGAACCCTGTGTTTTGCTATAGACTACCACTCCGACATACAGTACAATCGTTTTTTTTCTTCCCATTATAAAACATTTCACAAATGAAAAACGGATTGATTGATTGGAAATATACACATTTACAGATCAGTATGACGTTATTCAATGATGATACCGATGTTCCATCTGGGGAAAATAAAAGTTATTATATTATTTTCTATTCTACTTTACATATCCACTACTGTCAGATCTGCTAGAAGGCTGTGCATGCAATGAGACTGATACGGCCAGAGTGAGGTTCATGAGATTGGGGTCAACCAACCTGTGAATGGAATGATTCTGTAAATAGTTTGAAGGAAAACATTCCTGAGTTCTAAAACAAGATATTTGTTTATTGTGTTTACACTAATTGATTTAGTAGGAAAGAGGTACAACAAATAGATACATCAATGTCTTACTTTGGCAGATAATCTGTGATTGGGGGGTAAATTGATATACATTGTTGCCATTTGTGTTTCAGATGGACACATTATACGGTCATTAGAAAAAATGTATATCCTGCCTGTTACAGTACCTGCAACAGATAGCCTACACCAACATTTCACAAATTGACAATGTTGACACCCTTGTCAACACCACTACAATATTCTTGCAACCATGGAGCGCACTGACATACGCTGTCATTGCCAACAAGAGGTCCACAAATGCATGTGTACTGGCATGAGTGATGAGTGTTGCTCTTTTTATTCACATTGAATATGGGATTCTGTTCAACATCCTGTTTTTAAAAAATACCGAAGGATGCTGTAGTGTATAAAGCCGAATAAGAGAAATCAAACGTCTCGCGCAGTCAGATTGACAGTCGCATCTTTTCTGTAGCCTACCACTGTCCAAGGTTAAGATCGGATAAATATTGTGTGACGAAGGCCACAGCGAGCATATGGGATGTTAATATTTATCTTAACGCTTCAGAGGATTTGCAAATAATAAAGACGGGCAGCAATCATCCAGCGCCTATCTCTATGGCCTGTGCTTCCTGGGGGAATCCCCGGGTTCTAAGTTGGTTCTGGCGGTGCAGAGAGAGGAGCTGTCAAGCTTGTCATCCGTCCCTGCCCTTCGACGTCTCTTACCTTCTCTTGCTTTCAACAGGACGGTGTTGGCCACGATATTCTCGAGCTCCATGTTTTCCTGGGTTGCAGGCACCGCAGGCCCAACCTCGTCGCGGGGTTGGCAGTGAAGTACGTCCTCCCCCACCCCCCAAAGCGGAATATTTTAACCCTGAATAACTCTCCGTTCCGTCGTTCGCTCCCCCTAGTACCTCTACCCCGAAGCGTCGAACTGCGTCGATTCCAACTTGGACTATCCTGTGTTTACCACTGGACCCCGCCCACTCGTGAACTATTGGTGTATTCTGACATTGTAAATAGTTTTATTTTTATAATTGGGCTCTTCTGACATAACCACGCCCATTTAATACCAAATGTAGATAATACATGAATATTCATATTCAGTTATTCAACACATGAGGCACGCAGCACAGTGAGGGGCAAACCAATGCTGCATTCATAACCAAGTGGGACGGTGGTATTTACCACATACGCCTGGGAAAAATCCACATGAACCCCCCTCCAAATCGTAATTACTAGTGGGAAACTCCTCTATCATTCCTGTGCTTTGAATTCTCCCACATGCTGACCTCTGACGTCACCTACTAAGGAAATGACCTAGATTACACAATTTTCGGCAGTTACATTATTTATGAAAAGCAATCCAATAACATGGTTTTTATAATCCTTTTTCATGATATTCAATTGGTAGTTACAGTCTTGTCCCATCGCTGCAACTCCCGTACGGACTCGGGAGAGGTGAAGGTCGAGAGCCGTGCGTCCCCCGAAACACAACCCCGCCAAGCTGCACTGCTGGCTTAACCCGGAAGCCAGCCGTACCAATGTGTCAGAGGAAACACCGCACAGCTGGCGACCGAAGTCAGCGTGCATGCGCCTGGCCCACCACAAGGAGTCACTATAGCGCGATGGGCCAAGGACATCCCAGCCGGCCAAACCTTCCCTAACCCAGACAAAGCTGGGCCAATTGTACGCCGCCTCATGGTTCTCCCAGTCACGGCCGGCTGCGACACAGCCAAGGATCGAACCCGGGTCTGTAGTGACGCCTCTAGCACTGCGATGCAGTGCCTTAGACCACTGCGCCACTCATTTTACATTTACATTTTAGTCATTTAGCAGACACTCTTATCCAGAGCGACTTACAGTTAGTGAGTGCATACATTTATTTTTTTATTTTTTTTCATACCACTTGGGAGGCCAATAATGTTTTTTTAACACTATAATTTGTTTAATAGCATGATAGCTATACTTTAGGTTTAGGGTTGTTGCAGCTTGTTGGCCATTAGCCAATCAGCGTTTCAAGTTCAAATCACTTGAAAGCATCCAATTGGTATTTACGACTTCACAACTGGTAATTACCACCTTCCCACTTGGTTATGAATGCAGCATAGTCTCAAATGACTGCCAACAAGTAACAAAATATTGCCATTCACATTTTTGGGGAGGCAATATAATACTTTTTGCCTGATGACCATTCAGTTGAATGCAATGTCTGAAAAGAGAAAATGAGCATGAAGAATGGATTCTACAGTAAACTGATATTTTGCTTGGTTACAGGGACATCTAGAGGCATGGCAATATACTAACATGAACCTCCAGTGTAGCTTCCCCTTGAGCATTGCTTGTCTCTTCTTTTCTCATGCACAGAGTCTGGCGAGAGAGACAATTTGTCTCTCTGAGATTAAAATATGATTGCCAAAAAAATGGAAAGTGAAAGAAAAAAAGAGAAACACATGTAATAGCATAAACTATGTATAGATGTGTAATAACATAAATTGTATAGATGTGTAATAGTATTGGGTCTTGTTTCTCATATTGGCTCTCGGGTTGAGATGCTTTATAAAACTAGATATCGTAGTCTATGCTAGAAAAAAGTGTGAATGGATGAATGGATAGAACGGAAAAAGGAATTGAAAGTCATTTTCTTTCACGTCCAACAAAGGAAAGCTCTCTTCTGGTAACCTAGTTGTTACAGTCCATTATGGCCATGTGCAGGCGGCAGGCCTTATCAGTGAGTGTGGGTTGTTATGCTGGACATAAGACATCTCCTCTGAGAGTAGCAGCATCCTCCTCCATTAAGGTGAAGGAAATGGAAAGTCATATACCAAAGTCCATTTGGAGAGTATGAAATCTAATCAACGCTCCTGAGAAAACACACTAACCCAATGGTTCAAAAAAGTGAGCTCTCTCCTTCTCAGTACAATATGTGTTCCCTTACACCCCCGAATGAGGTTTGATACTGTCAACCTGGTTACCATGGTCCCCAGAAGACAAGGGAGAATACATTATGATACCACTACAAGCCTCCTTATTTTCTTTTTGTGGTCAGAATGAAATGTAGAAATCCTCTTGGATGTTCATGTCTTTGAGGATATTGTCACCTGGAATAGATTTTGCACAGAGGTGGCAAACTCTCTCTCTCTCCTCTTCCTCTCTCTTTCTCCCATGCTTGCATACATTTTCCTTTCTAATTTGTTGAGAAATATATTCTGAAAATAACAAAGACAACCAATTTCAACCCAATCGTTGCTAAAAGTCCTTGCCATGTTTGTCATTGTCAATCAATTGAAATGAACCCAGATGGAAACATACATCTTTCTGATGTTTGCAGTCAGGGATCCCTGATTCCCAAGTAGGCTAGTTGGTTGGAACCAATAGGTTGGCACGGATGAAGAATGACTACTCTTGGGTTATATTACTTGCAAACAAATCCATAATTGTATTTCATAATGAATCCCTCATCCTTCATCATAATCATCATCATCATCACCAGTAGCAGCATGATCAGCACCACTAGAACCAGAATAGGTAATTGTTACACCTTCCCTGTTATCAAATTATGGCCCATAATTGAATGACTTTCAATTAGTTTTTGATAGTAATATTATATTGATACTATTATTTAATCCGCTACTATTGTAATAATATGTGTTTCTTATTTCTTTTACTACAGAAGGTCAAAGGTAAAGGGGCGATTATTCCACCCACGTGACACCAACACACGCGTCCTCGCTTGCTCAGTTCCACGCGTTGTTGTTCAGAATTAAAAGGTAGCTCGTGTTAAAGCAAAGTAACAATGCCGAAAGCCAAAAAGAAAAGTAAAAGAAACACGTTTGACTACAGTAAAGACAGAAAGAAACTGAAAAAGCAGTTTAAGAAAAGGGAAGCCCCGAGAATAGAGTGGTAAGTCGAATATTGCTGATGAAAAACAAACGATGCTAGCAATGCTAACGTTAACTCATCCCATGCTGTGTCTGTGTGGTTGTTTCTACTAACGTAACTAACGTTAGCTAGCTAGTTAGGTTTGCTAGCAATGAAAGCAATCTAGCCAGCTAACTTTACTAGCTAGCAAAACGTTATAACTATGATTATTGTATCTAGTCTATTCACGGAAAATGTCAAGAACTTTGAAAGTTTCTTCAAGTGCAGTCGCAAAAACCGTCAAGTGCTATGATGAAACTGGCTCTCATGAGGACCGCCACAGGAATGGAAGACCCAGAGTGACCTCTGCTGCAGAGGATAAGTTCATTAGAGTTACCATCCTCAGAAATTGCAGCCTAATAAATGCTTCACAAGAGTTCAAGTCACAGACACATCTCAACTTCAACTGTTCAGAGGGGATGTTATTTTTTTTTTTACAAAAATGGGACTGTGTGAATCAGGCCATTATGGTCGAATTGCTGCAAAGAAACCAGTACTAAAGGACACCAATAAGAAGATTTTGGTTCCAACCGCCATGTCTTTGTGAGACACAGTGTGGGTGAACGGATGATCTCCGTATGTGTAGTTCCCACCGTAAAGCATGGAGGAGGAGGTGTTATGGTGTGGGGGTGCTTTGCTGGTGACACTGACGGTGACTGATTTATTTAGAATTAAAGGCACACTTAACCAGCATGGCTACCACAGCATTCTACATCGATACGCCATCCCACCTGGTTTGGGCTTAGTGGGACTATCATTTGTTTTTCAACAGGACAATGACCCAACACACCTCCTGGCTGTGTAAGGGCTATTTTACCAAGAAGGAGAGTGATGGAGTGCTGCATCAGATCACCTGGCCTCCACAACCCCCGACCTCAACCCAATTGAGATGGTTTGGGATGGACGGCAGAGTGAAGGAAAAGCAGCAAACAAGTGCTCAGTAAATGTGGGAACTCCTTCAAGACTTTTGGAAAAGCATTCCAGGTGAATCTGGTTGAGAGAATGCCAAGAGAGTGCAAAGCTGTCAAGGCAAAGGGTGGCTATTAGAAAAATCTCAAATATAAAATATATTTTGATTTGTTTAACACTTTTTTGGTTACTACATGATTCCATATGTGTTATTTCATAGTTTTGATGTCTTCACTATTATTCTAAAATGTATAAAATAGTAAAAATAAAGAAAAACCCTTGAATGGGGGATTGTAAATGATGCAGACAATTACATTGATGGAAGATGCATCTATCTGCAATATTAAAGCTGATCTACCCCCTAAAAAAATATATATATATATATATATATATATAAACTCAGCAGAAAAAGAAACGTCCCTTTTTCAGGACCCTGTCTTTCAAAGATAATTTGTAAAAATCAATAACTTCACAGATCTTCATTGTAAAGGGTTTAAACACTGTTTCCCATGCTTGTTCAATTAACCATAAACAATGAATGAACATGCACCTGTGGAACGGTCGTTAAGACACTAACAGCTTACAGATGGTAGGCAATTAAGGTCACAGTTATGAAAACTTAGGACACTAAAGAGGCCTTTCAACTGACTCTGAAAAACACCAAAAGAAAGATGCCCAGGGTCCCTGCTCATCTGCGTGAACGTGCCTTAGGCATGCTGCAAGCAGGCATGAGGACTGCAGCTGTGGCCAGTGCAATAAATTGCAATGCCCGTACTGTGAGACGCCTAAGACAGCGCTACAGGGAGACAGGACGGACAGCTGATCGTCCTCGCAGTGGCAGACCACGTGTAACAACACCTGCACAGGATCGGTACATCCGAACATCACACCTGCGGGACAGGTATAGGATGGCAATAACAACTGCCCGAGTTACACCAGGAACGCACAATCCCTCCATCAGTGCTCAGACTGTCTGCAATAGGCTGGACTGAGGGCTTGTAGGCCTGTTTGTAAGGCAGGTCCTCACCAGACATCACCGGCAACAACATCGCCTATGGGCACAAACCCACCGTCGCTGGACCAGACAGGACTGGCAAAAAGAGCTCTTCACTGACGAGTCGCGGTTTTGTCTCACCAGGGGTGATGGTCGGATTCGTGTTTATTGTCGAAGGAATGAGCATTACACCGAGGCCTGTACTCTGGAGCGGGATCGATGTGGAGGGTCCGTCATGGTCTGGGGCAGTGTGTCGCAACATCATCTTGCAGGCAATCTCAACGCTGTGCGTTACAGGGAAGACATCCTCCTTCCTCATGTGGTACCCTTCCTGCAGGCTCATCCTGACATGACCCTCCAGCATGACAATGCCACCAGACATACTGCTCGTTCTGCGCGTGATTTCCTGCAAGACAGGAATGTCAGTGTTCTGCCATGGCCAGCGAAGAGCCCGGATCTCAATCCCATTGAGCACGTCTGGGATCTGTTGGATCAGAGGGTGAGGGCTAGGGCCACTCCCCCCAGAAATGTCTGGGAACTTGCAGGTGCCTTGGTGGAAGAGTGGGGTAACATCTCACAGCAAGAACTGGCAAATCTGGTGCAGGCCATGAGGAGATGCACTGCAGTACTTAATGCAGCTGGTGGCCACACCAGATACTGACAGTTACTTTTGATTTTGACCCCCCCCCCCTTTGTTCAGGGACACATTATTCAATTTCTGTTAGTCACATGTCTGTGGAACTTGTTCAGTTTATGTCTCAGTTGTTGAATCTTATGTTCATACAAATATTTACACATGTTAAGTTTGCTGAAAATAAACGCAGTTGACAGTGAGAGGATGTTTCTTTTTTTGCTGAGTTTATATATATCTATCAAGACATACAATACTTCACCCACTTATCAGAAACGTATGGGTAGATGGCTATAGTAGTGTAACGAATTAATGTTCATTCCAAGTCCTCAGATCCGAAATGCCTGGAGTGATAAGAAGTCTGTGGCAAGAAACTTGCGAGACATGGGTCTGGCATTTGACCCAAACCGCGCCCTCCCAATTAAGACACCAACCGTGAGTATATCCTGTCCATCATGGTGATATGCTATGCATTCAATAATTATGGCCTAATCTTTTAGTGAATTGAATTATGAGTCACTTATAATTGATATGTCTACAGATTGCTGCTGTGGAGAGAACTGAAGACACTCCTGCCCCCAAATTTGTAAGGAAGCCATACGTACTCAATGGTAAGGAACCGATCATAATTTCTTGTTAGACATAATGTTTGTGTTCTTCACCCAGCAGGATGTTAATATGCCATTTAGCAGACACTTTTATCCAAAATGACTTAGTCATGCGTACATACATTTTACGTACGGGTGGTCCCGCCAACTATCCTGCCGTTGCAAGCGCCATGCATGCTCTACCAACTGAGCTACAGAGGACCAATACACCCACTGTATACACATTCCCTGTGACAGTAATATGACTAGTTATTAACATATGCAACGCTTCACCTATTACATTTGATCAGAAGATCTGTTCATGTGGACTCATGTATATCTTGTTTTCAACAGAACTGGTGGCAGAGGCCAGTCTCCCAGAGAAAGACACAAAGACCTTATCCACAGACTTGATCGAGTACGTGCAGTACATGGTGAGGGAACACAGCGAGAACTACAAGGTGAGAACAGCTGATGAGTTTCACCTCACCTTACTTGACATCTATGTACAGTAGTGTTTCAAAGGTTGCTCTGGTATTCCTGTAGTTGCAGTATATTGTCTTTTGGGTCATAGCAATAAGTACTGTACGTTGTTATGGGCATTGTGAGACCAAATTTTTTTCTACTTCTGTAGGCTATGGCCAGAGATGAGAAGAACTATTACCAGGACACGCCCTCACAGATCAGGAGGAAAGTGGACCAGTATAAACGCTGCCATCCAGAGGAATACACCACCTTCATGGAGTCTCTCAAAGGTGGCAAAGCAGTTTCCACATAACTGTGGCTGTCTTTGGTGGTCAAAGACTTTCAATGTGAAGGGGGAGAGTAACCATTCTTCCTCTTTATCGGTGGGGGGCAGTCTGGGAGCACTGACTGGCAAAGATGAACAGTAGAGGGGGTCAAAGTGCACCCAGAAACACAAGCTTTCTTAATTTAGAACACGGACTGTGAGTTGGGATTTTAAAGAACTGTAAACATATGAGAAAAAGACCAGACATGATTTTCAACATGCATAAAATCAAATACTTTATTGTTATTTTTTCATATTTCCAGTATGTTTCCCAAAAATAGTTACACAAATTATATACAGTAAGAACATTTAAGACTGCTTTTGTAATGAAGTCAACATATGTTTGTCTTCATTAATGCATTTCCTTTTTGGATTTTTTTTTTTGAAGATGTATAAGCATAGAATCATTTGTCAAGCTTGTGCAAAAGGTTGTAACATGTCACTGTGTAAAAAAATAAAATGAGACATTTAAGACATCTGAGTGAGAACCTTACAGCAGCATATAATAAAAGTATTTAAAGTATTACAACTGAACACACACAAAAAAAGGGGATTATCAAGAAACATATCATAGAAGGGTTTGTACTTAACGAAAGATGTGTATGTGCGCATCAGGTTTGAATACGCATGTTGGAAATATTGCATTCATAACATTTTGCAATTTAAGGCCATTTTATATAGTGAGAACTCGGATTTTTGCATCTTCAACCTAGACCCATAGGAGCAAAGCAAGAAGTGTACCCATCAATATGTGCTGTGATTTGTTGATTCAACTCAACTGATATTACAAAAAATACATTCCATTGCATGTGCCACATCCGTTAACATCATTTGAATGAACATTCTACATTTCCATAGATATGTTTGCATCACAATACCAGACAGCCATTGCGAATGTACCAATGAGTTTACCAGTCAAATTGCCAGGGTTAAGGCGGGTCCGTCTAGCAACATGTTTGTAGACAATTGTCGTAGCGACATAATTTATATTGCATTATCGTCAGACATCAAACTTGTTGTTATGAAAAAGTATAAACATAAAACGAAAGCCTCTGCATGACATCCAAATGGCATACCTTCTCTATTTTAACACCAATAATCACATCAGTTTACAAATTAATTCAGTAAATGTTAACCTAGCAAGCCAGGCAACTAAATGCAATTTTCTAAACAATGTTTTGGTTCGTTGCTCGTTAGCTAGCTAGCCAGTTCAAATAATGACCCGCGTATAGCTGACAACGTCTTAACTTTAGCTACTTTTTATTCATTATATTACAGGAAAAGAAACCCACAACATTATTTACAAGGTAATGGCGAGTTTACAGAAAATGGCGTACTGCCACTGTGGGACGAAATAAAAGTAGGTAATCTGATAATTAATTAATAATAACTCCTGCATCTTGTCACAGGAGGATTTGGTCAGTTTGCTGTGGCAGTCCGGTAACCATGATAACAGACGTTGCAACAGTCGCAGAGACTTAAACTTTTTGTCATGTCTGCGACAAGGAAACTGACAGTCACCGCGATGGTCTACAGACATTCCACCCGGGTATAAATTAAATGTTTTGACAAGCGACACTTGTAGCATTCTAATTGTCTACAGACATGTCGTTAGACCAAGTATATACTGGCCTTTAGAGGGTTCAAGGCTGTTCTATTCATTATATTTCTATGTGTGCTGCTGCTGCTGCAGGGAGGGTGGCGTTGCCTACGCGGAAGACTTGTTTGCTACAACACCTTGCTTGTTTACGAAGGAGCAACAAAGTTTCGTCACGTTGTAAAGAGTCCATGTTACTTCAGAAACGGACTCAACTGCACGAATTCACGGCCGTCCCGTCTTCGGTCAGCTGTTCGTTCCACAAAAATGTTTAAATAATGATTTCAATTGTTATTTTATTTTCATGAATATCTTCATCCATAACCGTCGGTTATACGGTAAGTGTGCCAGCCATAATTGGCAATAGTATCCACTAAACTATTTGGACAGGGCAGGTTTTGGTGTTCGAGCTAACCTACATTGGCAAACAAGCATTTTGCTGAACCTGCGATAACATCTGCAGATATGTGTACGCGACCAATAAACATTGATTTGATTTGTCTGTGTTGGAAAAAACAAGTCGGCAAAGTCAATCATTTTACATGCCAGATAATGACTGCTCAGCAAAACATCTTCCCATTTGACCACAGAACTTTGTCCTTTAGTACAAAATGTCAATACAATGTTATATAAGCCAACCTAGATATTTGTTTCCCTCTGTTGTTTTTGTAGTGTTTGGTCTGACATCGCTGCAATGCCGTATAAAAGTCAAGTTAGTCGGGAACATTTATTTGATGTCCTAAATGTCCTTGTCATCAGGTCTATGAACTGATACATAAAACATCTGTCCGTTTCAATTTAAGCTATTATATAAAATACTTACTACAAAAAGAATACTCAATATATGGGGCATTGAACAGACTCTGCCATGAGGAAACAGAATCAATAGAGAATATTTTCTGGTACTGTCCATCGGTGGCTCGCTTTTGGAGTCAGGTCCAGGAATGGTTAGCTATGTCATAATATCAGGGTTCAGATGGACCTGCAAACTGTATTGTTAGGGGATCTGAAAACCACGATCAGTCAATGTGAAATATCATTATACTCTTGAGTAAAGTATTTATTTGTAAGACAATATCAGTAGAAATGTTACAAATAGGGAGGTTCATGACCCTCGTATTTATATCACAGTAAAGTGGAGGGATGTATTGCAAAGAAATTGAAAAATGGCATTATACTGGGAAAGATGGGTTAATCTGTGGACATCAGAGGATTGGAGTTAAAATCACAATGAATGGTGGATTGGCTGCTGTGGGTGAAAATCCAGCACTTGCAGAAACAGGAAATTAGGAATATGATGTATAATTATTTAACTACATGTACCGTGTACATGAAGTATTGTTGTCCACTAGTTTACTCCAACCAGGGTAAGGATGGTAGGGTTGGGTGAAAAACAGTATAAAGAAAAATAATAAGGTGGATTAGAAATTATGCAAACATTTAAATTGATACAACCCACAATCTATCTGCAATATTAAAGCTGATCTACCCCCATAAAATAAAATAAAAAATGAAGTGGTCCTCTATTTTCCCACTGTGTCCTCAATTGGCCTTATTTGTATAAATCTTAGATTATCACTTTAACAACCACACTTCACTTTAGCAGTCAAACAAAACACCCAGAGGTGCTACTGCAGTAGAAACATGGCATTACAATTCATACATGCTTTAGGAATTAATTGTCATTGATAAGAAGGTTGAAGATACGAAGATTGAAAGGTACACTACCGTTCAAAAGTTTGGGGTCACTTCGAAATGTCCTTGTTTTCCATGAAAACATACATGAAATTAGTTTGAATAGGAAATATAGCAAAATGAATAGGAAATGTAGTCATTGACAAGGTTAGAAATAATGATTTTTAATTTAAATAATAATTGTGTCCTTCAAACTTTGCTTTCGTCAAAGAATCCTCCATTTGCAGCAATTACAGCCTTGCAGACCTTTGGCATTCTAGTTGTCAATTTGTTGAGGTAATCTGAAGAGATTTCACCCCATGCTTCCTGAAGCACCTCCCACAAGTTGGATTGGCTTGATGGGCACTTCTTACATACCATACGGTCAAGCTGCTCCCACAACAGCTCAATATGGTTGAGATCCGGTGACTGTGCTGGCCATTCCATTATAGACAGAATACCAACTTACTGCTTCTTCCCTAAATAGTTCTTGGATAGTTTGGAGCTGTGCTTTGGGTCATTGTCCTGTTGAAGGAGGAAATTGCCAATTGTCACGCGCCGTCCACAGGGTATGGCATGGCGTTGAATAATGGAGTGACAGCCTTCTTCAAGGTCCCTTCTTCAAGGTCCCTTTTACCCTGTACAAATCTCTGACTTTACCACCACCAAAGCACCCCCAGACCATCACATTGCTTCCACCATGCTTGACAGATGGCATCAAGCACTCCTCCAGCATCGTTTCATTTGGTCTGTGTCTCACAAATGTTCTTCTATGTGATCCGAACACCTCAAACTTCGATTCGTCTGTCCATAACACCTTTTTCCAATTATCCTCTGTCCAGTGTCTGTGTTCTTTTGCCCATCTTAATCTTTTCTTTTTATTGGCCAGTCTGAGATATGTATTTTTCTTTGCAACTCTGCCTAGAAGGTCAGTATCCCGGAGTCGCCTCTTCACTGTTGACGTTGAGACTGGTGTTTTGTGGGTACTATTTAATGAAGCTGCCAGTTGAGGACCTGTGAGGCATCTGTTTCTCAAACTAGACACTCTAATGTATTTGTCCTCTTGCTCAGTTGTTCACCGGGGCCTCCCACTCCTCTTTCTATTCTGGTTAGAGCCAGTTTGCGCTGTTCTGTGAAGGGAGTAGTACACAGCGTTGTACAATATCTTCAGTTTCTTGGCAATTTCTCGCATGGAATAGCCTTAATTTCTCAGAACAAGAATAGACTGACGAGTTTCAGAAGAGCATTCTTTGTTTCTGGCCATTTTGAGCCTGTAATCGAACCCACAATTGCTGATGCTCCAGATACTTAACTAGTCTCAAGAAGGCCAGTTTTATTGCTTCTTTAATCAGCACAACAGTTTTCAGCTGTGCTAACATAATTGCAAAAGGGTTTTCTAATGATCAATTTGCCTTTTAAAATGATACACTTGGATTAGCAAACACAACATGCCATTGGAACACAGGACTGATGGTTGCTGATAATGGGCCTCTGTACGCCTATGTAGATATTCCATAAAAAAATCAGCTGTTTCCAGCTACAATAGCCATTTACAACATTAACAATGTCTACACTGTATTTCTGATCAATTTGATGTTATTTTAATTGACAAAAAAATTGCTTTTCTTTCGAAAACAAGGACATTTCTAAGTGACTCCAAACTTTTGAACGGTAGTTTATGTTTGAATAAAAGCTGGCTGCAAAACAACTGCCTCCTAAAAGTTAAAACATGCAAATATTTAATAACAATTCAAACAGAGCATGAATTTCTCAACAACAAAAAGTTAATACACCTATTTATATTAATCTTACTTAACCTTACATCCATTTACATGTACTTAACTTACATCAACTATATTTAAGAGAATAAAACGTAACACTCACAATCAAATGTCTCCTTTTGAGATTATAAAATGCATGATGTTATTAACGACTGCATTGAACCAAGCTGATACATGACATTGTCACAATGATGAGCATTGAAGCCAGATACTTTTGCTACAATTGAAATGTAACAAGCTTCATGCTTGGTAACGACACTCCCCTATGTATTTATTTGGACAGTGAAGCTAAAACTTTTAATTTGGCTCTATTACTCCAGCATTTGGGATTTGAGATCAAATGTTTTATGAGGCGACAGTACAGAATGTCACCACCTATTTGAGGGTATGTTCATACATATTTGTTATACCGTTTAGAAATGAAAGCACTTTATGTATCTACTCCCCCACTCTCCATTTGAAGGTGTCATTAGTATTTGGCCAAATTCACATTTTTTAAAACATTGTTAGTCATTTAGCAGACGCTCTTATCCAGAGCGACTTACAGTTAGTGAGTGCATACATTTTTCGTACTGGGCCCCCGTGGGAAACGAACCCACAACCCTGGCGTTGCAAGCGCCATGCTCTACCAACTGAGCTACAGGGGACTACTTGTAGTGTATTACATTTAGTCAAAAGTTGATGACTATTTTTTAATCCTTCCGCTATGGGCTGGATGTGTCAAAATGTAGTTCATACATGCAGAATTACTGTCTTACCTCAATTAGCCACGAAATCCCTAGTTTGAAAGCGACTATTTTTCTGGAAGCTGTGCAGCGCCATTTCCCCCCAAGTGGGCCAGCCCCCTAGCAATTTGAGTTAAACCAATGAGCTTCAGCCCCTCGCCATATGAATGACAGCTAGCAAGATGCACATGATGCACCCACAGCAGAGTGAGAGAGAGAGCAATGACGTGGTGCACTACATGACCAAAAGTATGTGAACACCTGCTCGTCGAACATCTCCTCATTCCAAAATCATGGGTATTAATATGGAGTTGGTCCCCCATTTCCTGCTATAACAGCCTCCACTCTTCTAGAAAGGCTTTCCACTAGATGTTGGAACATTGCTGAGGGGACTTGCTTCCATTCAGCCACGAGCATTAGTGAGGTCGGGCACGGATGTTGGGCGATTAGGCCTGGCTCGCAGTCAGCATTCCAATTCATCCCAAAGGTGTTCGATGGGGTTGAGGTTAGGACTTGTGCAGGCCAGTCAAGTTCTTCCACACCGATCTCGACAAACCATTTCGGTATGGACCTCGCTTTGTGCACGGGGGCATTTTTATGCTGAAACAGGAAAGGGCCTTCCCCAAACTGCTGCCACCAAGTTGGAAGCACAGAATCGTCTAGAATGTCATTGTATGCTGTAGCGTTAAGATTTCCCTTCACTGGAACTAAGGGGCCTAGCCCGAACCATGAAAAACCGCCCCAGAACATTATTCCTCCTCCACCAAACTTTCCAGTTGGCACTATGCATTGGGGCAGGTAGCGTTCTTCTGGCATCCGCCAAACCCAGGTTTGTCTGTCGGACTGCTAGATGGTGAAGCATAATTCATCACTCCAGAGAATGTGTTTCCACTGCTCCAGAGTCCAATGGCGGCGAGCTTTACACCACTCCAGCCGACACTTGGCATTGCGCATGGTGATCTTTGGCTTGTGTGCGGCTGCTCGGTCATGTAAACCCATTTCATGAAGCTCCCGACGAACAGTTATTGTGCTTAATTTGTTTCCAGAGGCAGTTTGGAACCGAGGATAGGCGATTTTTACGCGCTACGCGCTTCAGCACTCGGCGGTCCCGTTCTGTGAGCTTGTGTGGCCTACCACTTCGCAGCTGAGCCATTGTTGCTACTAGACATTTCCACTTCACAATAACAGCATTTACAGTTGACCAGGGGCAGCTTTAACAAGGCAGAAATTTGATGAACTGACTCGTTGGAAAGGTGGCATCCTATGACCGTGCCGTGTTGAAAGTCACTGAGCTCCTCAGTACGGGCCATTCTGGTGCCAATGTTTGTCTATGGAGATTGCATGGCTGTATGCTTGATTTTATACACCTGTCAGCAACGGGTGTGGCTGAAATAGCCGAAGGGGTGTCCGCATACTTTTGTATATATATAGTATATGTATGCAATTTTCGGGGACCACTTTTGGTTTGGACCTGTGAGTGCAACTTTCCGAACTCATGGATTTATGTCTCTGTGTCCAGTATGAAGGCAGTTAAGAGGTAGTTTCGCGAGACAATGCTAACTGGCGCTAGCGCAATGACTGGAAGTCTATGGGTATCTGCTAGCACTGCGTTAATGCTAGTTAGCAATTGCGCTAGCGCTAATTAGCAACTTCCTTCAAACTGCACGCAGACATATAACATTTTTATCCACGAGTTCATCTGACTCTGGGGAAGTAGATAAAGTGCCTCATTGCCAAAATCCTGAAGTATCCCTTTAACAAGAGACCCAGGACCAGTGGAAGCAAAATAGCCCCATAATATCAATGATCCACCACCATATTTTACCTTAGGTATGAGGTACTTTTCTGCATATGCTTCTGTTTTTAAATGCCAAACCCACCACTGGTCTGCGTGGCCAAAGAGCTATATTTTCATGTCATCTGACCATAGCACCGGTTCCAATCCAAATGCCAATCCAGTTTATCAAACTCCAGGCGGTGCTATGGTCAGATGACATGAAAATAGAGCTCTTTGGCCACGCACACCAGTGGTGAGTTTGGCGTTGAAAAATGGAAGCATACGGAAGCATTATTTTAATTGAAGAGGGTAGTCCATAAACGCAGACTAAGGATATCAAGGATCTGGAAAGATTATGTAAAGAGGAATGGTCTAAGATCCCTCCTAATGTGTTCTCCAATCTCATAAAATACTTTTAAAGAGGCTCAATGTCGTTATCTTCACATGGGTACTAAAAACAGGGGTGCCAATCATTTTGTCCCCTATCTTTTCTAGATTTTTTGTATTACTTGTTAAACAATCTCTTTCTCTGAGCAATTGTATTTGTATAAAATATACATTATTTGTATTTATTTTATACAGTATTTTTTGCTCATCTTTATCAAGGGTGCCAATAATTATGGACCTGACTGTATATCGAACCCTGACTATTTTTGGTCCCTGCCACTGAAGGGTTCAAAAGTATTCACACACAGTAATGGCCATTTGCCACTCGTCCTTACCACACGGGCACATCCATGGACCTCTCTCCCCATCCCACCTTCCTGGTCAACCCCCCGCTCACTACTCCTGTCCTGGGGCATCAGACGAGCTGTAGGAGCAAGTCCTGGAAGGCCTGCAGATTACGGGAGCAAATCAGGCCATCTGAGCCTAGCTGGGCAGCCAGTAGGAACAGCCTCCTCTCGTCTGCCACCGCCCCCAGAGACAGGGCCTCATGGAGCTCCGACACACTCAAGGCGTTGGGCTTGTCCTAGAGGGGAGAGGACACACAAGACGGACAGTGAAGTTTACTGTCAAGTCACACTGGGTATGATGAGCATCTGTTAAAATGACTAGATTGTATTTAAAACAGTTTGACAATCTAAACAGCAATGCATGGATGTATCACAACACTGGTCATGACAGGTGTAACATCATGCTTATAACAGTATTACAAATTCTTTATAACACTGCTCAAGTGAAGGGTTACTAACAGTATGTACTCACTGGAGAGCATACATGTATCCAGTATACGTGTATCCATATCCGAGACACTCATATTGCCCACAGTAAGATCAACAAATGTGTTTCTATAGAAATTGAAAAAGTTTCCATTCTATAGGTGTTTCTATCTCCAATGGAAATCCACCCACGGATAGTATAAGACAGTATAATAGTCAAGGTCACCTGTTTGTTCCCCAGGACCACCACAGGAAGTTGTGAGTGCAGTCTGAGGAGGCGATGCAGCTCAGCCTTGGCCTGTGGGAGACGTCTTCTGTCAGAGGAGTCAACCACGTACACCAGGACATGTGTCTTCCCCAGGTACTCTGCCCAGTACATCCGCAAATCCTCACCCCCTCCAACTGTAAGACAGTAGACAGAGTAGGTGGGTTACTTGAGAAGTGTTGATAGGCAATAAGGAAGATGTATGAACTTGTTTTTTACTTTCTTATTTGTTTGACACATTACAAGAAGGCTAAATGAATTATTCCACTCAAGAAAAGGTAAATGATGCATGTTGTTGTCCAAACGTATGAGTGAGTCTAAGCAAAGGCACATGATTATAATGCTTTTGGTAAAGCCACTGGCATTTTCAGGGCCAAACTGATAGTTTAAAATCCATGTGACAAATTTAAAGGTCATAGAGAAGGCTTAAAGCACTCTTGCATGGAGTCTTACAGGCCGGTTGAATTGCCCTGCAAGCATATGCTGAAATCTGGTGTAAACTGCATAGCTTACTTTCTAGGAAATTCAGCTGACAGGCAGGGGCACTGAGGCTCATAAAGTTGAAGCCCCTGGTGGGACGGCAGTGCCCTCTCTTGTCTCCATCTGTGGCTGTCAGCCCCTGCAGCATACTGCTCTTCCCAGCTCCGTCTAGGCCAAGGACTAGCACCTGGCGCTGTACACCCTCCTCCTGCTCCTGCTCAACACACACACAGCCATCAGAACACCTGTTCTCTCACAACAGTAAGATTAAGTTATCTTATCCCATTTCCTTTCTTCTCAAAGATACAGATATATAGATCATTGTTATTCCTGTAAAGTGCAGACCAGCAATATGATTTGCTTACATACATCAGCATTTTTCACTATCTGTCCCTGTATGATTACCAGTAAAGTATAGATAATGCTGCAGTATTTCACAATCACTTGCATTTTTGTGTGCAAAGCAGGCAGCAGCCTCTGTTGTTGTGACCCCACGGTACCCAAACCAAAAACAGATTTAATGCATCGCTCACTTATGTATAGAGCCATGTCATTGTGGAATGCTCTGCCACCAGAGGTTACTCAGGCAAAAAGCAAGTTTAGCTTTAAAAAACAGATGAAAAACATATTGTATCAAAGCGCATCTCCTCTTTCTAAAGATCTCATTTAACTGTACTGAAAATAAGAATAAATGTGTATGTGAATAGTGTGTAAATAGCATTTTTGTTGTCTCTCTGTGTCTTTCCTATATATAACTCTTATTTTTATTTTGAATTTAATGTAATATATTATGTTGTTCTTGTCTTTTACTGTTCTGTACTTGGTCATGTATTTGTATGTTTTATGTGGACCACAGGAGGAGTAGCTGCTGCATTTAACTGAACCACCAATAGCTGTTTACTTGGTCTACAATAACTGCATTTGCACTTTGACCACTATGTAATGTTGTTATGGCACGGATGTTAGTTACATCAGCTCTATACCATCTCATTGGTTTGTGAGTGGCACACTATAGGCAAATGACAAATTTGAGGAGTTAATATGTGAAATTCTCCCTTGATTACATTAACTATAGCCTAATCTGGCCTCTTTGTTTGAATCAAGACCATTTGAGCTCCTGAAAATCATATTAGTTCATTTCAGGTAATAGGCCTATGTCCATATAGGCTATAGTCAAAGAAAAATAATTCTACAGGCAATTATTATTATGACTGGGAATTATTTGCATTTTCTCCTTTAACATTAGACTATTAGTTTGTATTTTCTTGTAGCTTTCTTGGACCGTAAACCTGTATGATTCTCATTATGTGCATCAATCTTTGTCAAAACCCTTCATCATTATCATCATGAAGTCAGATGATCAGTTTGTTATCAACATGGTCTGAGATGAACGCTTATCATTCATGTCATATGCATTGTCTGGGCTGGAAGGCCCCATGTCGAGACATAAGTGATTCGTTAATTCGTCTATGCCTGCATGCGTTCGATGCCACTGGCGCCCCTACAGAACTTTCACTGCTCTGGCACGTAAAGAATCCAGGGATAAACCGTGAAAACTGTGCGTCTGTCCCCCGATTGCAACAGTTACAGAGCCATAAACTTATGCCGACTGTCCTACATGGCAAAGATAAGAGCTTACCTCTTCTATCATGTAATAATCCGCTTCGGGGGACCATATTCGCCTTCTGTAGAAATAATTTAAGGCGATAAACAGCGCGGACCCGAAGGCAGCCACCGCTGCAGTTAGGGCGATGGATATGTGCCGAAGCAGAACCATGTGGCACTTCTGGAACCCCGGAGAACGTTGCGTTCCAGGACACAACAGCTAAGAGCCAACGATGAAATTATCTAATGATTTCCACTGTGGACAATGCACCTGATCTCTCCGCTTTGTTTGTGTTGAAAAGAGCCCCGCCAGCATCCTCCTTGTACCCTTCAGTCGGTTCGATTCGTGACGACAGCAGAAGGTATGGGCTGCGCAACAACAGCCACTGACTGTACTTATGTGGAAGAAGCCTCTGAGTTAACTTTGAACGTAATTTAAAAAGGGCATGTCAGTTCCCTTGAAATAAACAAGATTTGCTATATAATAGGGCCTAAATATTTACCCTACAGTGCAATTTACTATCACAGATGTCCTGTTTTTTGGGGGACTGGAGTTTATAACCTCATCATTATGGGCGATAATTAGGTCACTTCCAGTTGTGAAATTTGTAAATATTGAAAACATTTGTAAACCACACTAAAGTAACCTAGAGTGAACAGTGAAATCATGGTCAATAAAATGAGGAACACCTTCAATAAAAACTGACCATTGAAGGGCGTCATGCACTTCTCACACAACACAGAGCAACATGGATTTTTCACCAAGCCAATTATTTAATTGGCTCATGTGTGTCGGTCATGTTATAACGTAAGAGTTCCACATTTAAAACCAAACCAAACATTAATATTCTAGGAAAAATATGGTGGAATAAAATTTAGGGCACAGGGTCCTCATTTATACACACATAAGTACAAAATATACCCCAAAACATACATGCGCCAGTCTTCACGCAAAAGTTAGCATTTATTTAAAAAAATACTTGACCAGAGAATGTGCTTAAATTCTAGCAAACGTTAGACCATGTGAGCATACTATTTCTGGTTGTTTGAAGTATTTAATTGCAGTGGTATTTTGTGCAAATAGGGGATACACGCTTATTCATAAAAAACCCAACATAGGAAAATACAACAAGATTTAATCATTTGCCCTTAGTGGGAAGAGCAAAACTATATATATATATATATTTGATCTATGCAATAAAACATTTTAAAAATCTATTTCCTGACTATTTTATTTCCAACCGAGGTAAAGTATTCGCCTGTAGTTTTCCTTACATCCACCAACAGCAGTTAGGGACCATCAACATAGTGACTAATTTTTCACATTTCAATAGCTCTTTAACCATTACTCCTAAAACGTTCAAAACTGGTTCTTATCACGTTTTATGGAAGACCCAGATGCAGACAGTGTCGAAGTAACAAAAGTTTATTACTAGAACAGGGGGCAGGCAAAACGACAGGTCAAGGGCAGGCAGAGGTCAATAATCCAGTGTGGTGGGACAAGGTACAGGACGGCAGACAGGCTCAGGGTCAGGGCTGGCAGAATGGTCAAAACCGGGAAAACTAGAGAACAGGAACTTTAGAAAAGACAGGAGCAAGGGGAAAACGCTGGTAAGCTTGAAGAACAAAACGAACTGGCAACAGACAAACAGAGAACACAGGTATAAATACACTGGGGATAATGGGGAAGATGGGCGACACCTGGAGGGGGGTAGAGGCAATCACAAAGACAGGTGAAACAGATCAGGGTGTGACAGTTCTAGCTAACCCGATGGCAGAGACACATATTGCACACACTTTCTTTTGTCGATTTACATCTTGCACTATTTTAAATTATTTATTTTTGAAATTCAATAGCGCCTTGGTCATGTCACCCACACACCTCAAACAAGATTCATAATGTACACTCAGTGGGCCTACACATTGCACACCCTTTTGTTTGGCCATTTGCATCTCATGAGAGTTTCAAATTTCAATACCTCCTTAGTCATATGACCTACAATCCTCAAACTACTTTCAGAATATCCACTGAGTAGCCTTATACATTGCACACTATTTTGTTTGTCCATTTTCATCTCAGGTGATTTTACTTGAATTTTTCAACATTTTAAATGTCAATACCTCCATGGTCATGTGACCTACAACCCTCAAAACACTTTCAGAACATCCACTCACTAGCGTTATATATTGCACACCCTTTTGTTTGTCCATTTTCATCTCAGGTGATTTTACATGAATTGTTCTATGTTTTTCAATAGCTCTCTGGTCATGTGACTTACAACCCTCAAACTGCTGTCAGAATATCCACTGACAAGACGTATATATTGCACACCCTTTTGTTTGTCCATTTTCATCTCAGGTGATTTTACAAGAATTTCACAATTTTAAATTTCAATACCTCTGGTCATGTGACCTACTGACCTCAAACAAACTTCAGATTGTCTACGGACTAGCCTTATATATTGCACACTCTTGTTTGTGTACTGTAATCTCACACTGTATTACGTACATTTCTCATAGTTTTGAATTTCAATAGCTCCTTGCTCATGTCAATTACAGACCTAAGAAGTGTGCAGTGGACATATACCCATATTGCCTGGAGAGAACAGGTATTGGTCGGTCACATGCATGAACCAAACATTAATGATGAATAATTAATAAGCTAAATCATGCAAATATAACTTGTCTGTGGAAGCAGTATTTTAGAGAACTTACAGGACTGCCCCGACGGAGCTCACAACCGACGTGTACTATGGTGCATTAAGTTTGTTGGAACCTCTCCAGTTTGCTGATAATAAAGAATGGTTGATTTAATATTGACTTCAGGTGTCCCTGGTGTTGAATTTCCACGACTACAGTTGCGTGTGAAAACTAAAAGAAGAAAGCGATCTATCAGAAGATGGGAATAAAAAGCAGGATCATGTGGACAACACTCTTAAGAAAGCAAAGCAACTCTGAATCAATCATGCTGTGGGTTTCAGATAAATAGATGCACGATTTACATTTGTAAAATGTTCAGTGTGAATGAAGTTTGATTGGAGTTGAATGATTATGTAATTATTAGAAAGTTGTTGGCAATTATTTGGGGAGAGAAGTAATGACAGCTCTTTAAAATTATTTTTGTGGTAGTTGAAGAACTATGTAGAATAGGTTTGTATGTAGCCCTACTGATAGCTAGCTGTAGTTCTATCTAATATAACAACTCTTTAGGCTAAAAGTACATTTCCTGAAGAAAATGTGGTGTGTTTTCTAGCTTGTTTTAAAGTATGTATGGTTTTGAAATACATTTACGTCATTTAGCAGACGCCATGCTCTACATCCATGCCGGCCATTCCCTCCCCTACCCTGGACGACGCTGGGCCAATTGTGCGCCGCCCCATTGGCGAGCTGGATTCGAACCAGGATCTCTAGTGGCACAGCTAGCACTGCGATGCAGTGCCTTAGACCACTGCGCCACTCGGGTGGTTATAGTAGTGGTAGTGTCTGCAATAGTAATGGTGGTGACTGGTTATAGTTTAAAAAGTAGGTAGATGAAAAGTTAGGATAGCCTGAACATATGAAAGTTAGTTTGGTGTATCTAGCTTGAACGGTTCAAAAGTTACTGTTGGTGGGTTATTTTATGGAACTGTATGCAAATGGATATATTTATAGTTAATAAAAGTTTGAACGAATTTGAAGTTAGGATAGCCTGAACATGTGAATGTTGATGAGAGTGTCTGAAGTAGTAATGGTGGTTACTGGTTATAGTGGAAAAAGTAGGAAAATCAAAAGATTGACTGATTGGTTGGTTGATATGATAGGATAGCCTGAACATATGAAAGTTGGTGTATCTAACTTGAACGGTTCAAAAGTTACACGTCTATCTTTTGTTACAATTATTGTTGGTGGGTATTATATGTTAATTATTGCTTATTTAAGTCGTTGTAATTTATAGTGCAGACCAGAGCTAGTGCGAACCAGAGCTAGCTAGCTACGCCCAGGACCAGAGCTAGTACAGACCCGAGCAGTAGTTGTGGTCAGTAGATGTGTAGTTGTGTTGCAGGTCCTTTGGGCCCTACAGTATGGACATGGCCAGTACTTGTGGTCAGTAGTTGTGTAGTTGTGGTCAGTAATTGTGGTCAGCAGTTGTGTTGTTGTGCTCATTAGTTGTGTGGTTCAGTAGTTTTGTGATCAGTAGTAGTGTGGTTGTAGTCAGTAGTGGTGGTTAGTCGTTTTGGTAAGTCGTTTTGTGGTTCATTAGTTGTGGTTGTGGTCAGTAATTATGGTTAGTCGTTTTGGTAAGTAGTTGTGTGGTTCAGTAGTTGTGGTCAGTAGTTGTATGGTTGCGTCCAGTAGTTGTAGTTTTGTAGTTGTGGTCAGTAGTTGTGTGGTTGTGATCAGTATCTGTGGTTAGTAGTTGTGTGGTCAGTGGTTGTGGACAGTAGTTGTGTGGTTCAGTATTTGTGGCCAGTAGTTGTGGTCAGTAGTTGTCTTCAGTAGTAGTCAGTAGATGTGGTCAGTAGTTTTGTGGTTGAGGTTGGTAGTTGTGTGGTGTGGTCAGTAGTTGTCGTGGTCAGTAGTTATGGTGATTAGATGTGTGGTCAGTAGTTGTGTGGTCAGAAGTTGTGTGGTTGTGGTCACTAGATGTGGTCAGCAGTTGTGCGGTTGTGTTCAGAAGTTGTGTGGTTGTGGTTAGTAGTTGTGGTCAGTAGTTGTGTGGTTGTGGTCAGTAGTTGTGTGGTTGTAGTCAGATGTTGTGTGGTTATGGTCAGTAGTTGGGTGGTCAGTAATTGTGTGGTCAGTGGTTGTGGTCAATATTTGTGTGGTTGTGGTCAGTGGTTGAAGTCAGAAGTTGAGGTCAGTAGTTGTGTGGTTGTGGTTAGGAGTTGTGTGGTCAGTAGTTGTGTGGTCAGTAGTTGTGTGGTTGTGGTCAGTAGCAATGTTCCCTCTAATGTTTTTCGGCACTTAGCAAATTTCAGGTCTGCTGAGCGCAAACTTGAATATTGTGAAAATTCTGTGCAACTTCCAGCGCGCATTTACTGTGAACACTGAGGCTGTATCTGCTTTAAGTTACAGTTTCAGACAGTGGTCAAGTAGGCTACTGTGGCTATTTGATCATAATGTAGGCCTACCAGAGTGGCCTTCCATCGAAAACAATGGAGAAAATGCATCCCATAACATTATAACATGGAAATAGCTGTTATATCATTCAGCCCAGTAGCAGCCAATGTGTGGTGTTCAATGTAGGTGTACATTCCATGGGACTTTTATAAAAACATGCATGGCTTGACATTAACCTGTTTATCCACTTGTTCATCAGGCAAGGAGATGACTGAACATGTTGTTGTGTTTGATGCAAGAAACCACTTT